CAAAAAAAAAAAAAAAAAAAAAAAAAAAAAAAAAAAAGAGAGGGGGGTATCAGGATCCCAGCTCAGGCTAGGATGCCAGCTGACCCAATCAGAGACCTAAAGCCGTCAGAAAGAATTAAAACAAAGCCCTGTGTATCTATGCGAGCCGGTCACCTAGAGGGAAGTTCAGAGAGCAAATCAACCTCCCATCCCAGTATCCTAATATACTAGAAATGATGGTGACATCAGTACACATGTTTCTCAAGACCTACCTCTCAATAGCCATCCAAAGGTTTGGATCTGAGTTCATAATGGTCTGACCTATGCTTAAAATAAGTTTAATAGAACCAAGAGAAGTTGATTTATAAACTTGTTTCCAAACCTGAGCCTTCCCTAAGAGGGATCCTCTTGACTTCAGGAGGGATCCTAACTGACATTGTAGGCATGGGGGCTACATGGATTGTGTATCTTCCCTGGGCTCTGGTTATAAGGTCACACCATGCTTGTGAGTTAGCAAGCTGTGAATTCTGTTACCGCCATAGTCAAAGACAACAAGTAAATTTGAGTCAAGGTGTTAGGGGATTGCTCTCCCCAGACTGCCAGATTCAGGCACTGCCATGGCCACTGATGATCTGGCAAAGAATGAGTTTTTTCATGACAATCAAGACCATTGACATGGGAAAAATTCCCCACTGTTCTTGCTGAGTGGGATTGCTGGATTTAGAAAGGCATTTGCTGAGTTGCACATCTCCTGATGAGAAGGAAGTGGGAAAAGAGATGTTGGAAAAGGGAAAGGAGCTGGCTGGACCTGGGCCAGGGCTGCTTGCTGCTACCTTGTGCTGTCTGCATGGTGGTGGGTAGCTGTGCTTTTGTTTTCATGAAAATCATCTGGAGTTGGGGGCTAGTCATCATCGTCATCACTGTCATCATTATCCTCTTCGTCAGAATTGTCATTGTCATCATCATCATTGTCGTCGTCATCGTCTTCATCCTCCTCATCTTCGCTGTCATCATCCTCAGTGTTTATCTTCCCAGAAAGCACATCCTCAATCCAGTCTTCCAGCTCCTCAGCTGTGGGCAGGTCATCACCATCTGGAATCTCCATCCAGACACTGTCAGCCTGCAGCCAGAGACAGAATGAGTGAGTGAGTGAGTGCACGAAGGATCAGCAAGGCCAGGGGGTTCCAAGCAGCTGTGCTGAGTGGGCTCCAGGTCACTTACACTTACCAGGAATATGAGCACACTGTTAAATGGAAATGCTTAGGTGCAGAATGGTGTGTGTAGTATCCTGTTTGTGCAACATGAAAGGAAAGGTGTATTCCATTGCATATATATATATATTTTTTCTATTGTATGTATATATAGCCAGTTAGCAATGTCCTTTTACCCTGTTGGTAGATGTTCGGTCACCTGGGAAATTCTACATTTCTTTATTTTGTAAACTACTTTTAAAATTAATAATAATAATATTTAAAATTCTGCTTAAGTTAAAACATTTTAAAACAGAACAGTAGGATACAAGGTGAAAAGCCAAAGTATTTCTGGCTGCCCTGACCCCATCCCTAGTCTCATTGGTGGTAGTTTCATGGCTGTCCTACCAGAAGTTTCATATAGATCCTATATATCATATATATCCATATATTCATGAACACACACACACACACACACACACACACACACACACACACACACACACACAATGGTGATTGCCTCCATGGGCTTCTGGGCCACAGCTGCCCCATCACCCATTGAGCAAAAACAACTCCCGGTGTGGGTTCCCTTGTGTAAAGAGACCTGGTTGGGCTTTGGAAGAAAATACAGGAGAGTTTACTTGTGTGGAAAGTTCTAAATAGTCAGTGAACCAGGTTAGGCTGGCTCCAAAAGCAAGGAAATGTGCCCATGGAAGAGAACCATGGAACAATAGGCTGGGACTGGCTCAGACTAGGATTGGGCCACACTGGCAAGTCTCCTGAGCTTTGGCAAGGCCAAGGGTCCTGCTCATTTCACATGGGGCCAGACTCCTATACGTGATCTCATAGTCTGGGCTGCATGGCAGAAATCAGGGCAGGCTGAGGGCATCCGAGCAAACTTTCATGATGTATACTCACATCTGTAACATTCACCACTCCAATCTGTGGCTTGAATAGGTCAATCTTGAAAGTCTTTTCCCAATAGGCAACAAGCTGTAGCAACAAAAAATAAAATTAGACAGCAGGCAGAAGCCACTGTTAAAGCCACATTTTGTGGCTGGACCCACCTGCCATCCCATCACAGTAATTAGGTCACCATTGGTTAAAGGTCTCCAAAACAGCTGTGGGCACTGAGGAAATTGAAGACTTGGCCCCAGCGTTCAGCACTTTAAATAAACATGAAAAAAAAAGAGTCATAACACAAACTGTGAAAGCATGTAATATAAAAGCTTCTACAGCTGTAAGGAAGAATATTACAGAGATAGTCCAAAGCTGATTCCCAAGTTACCTGTGGCTCTTTTACAGTTTAAGTGTGGTGAAAGAGCCATTTCCCTCCACCTCTCTTTCAATGTCTCACTTAAAAATCCCTTACCTTGTACCACTCTGCTCATGAGATGCCCGGGAAAGCAGCGGTGTGCTGTCAGTGGGCACACGAGTAAGAAGAGGGCTTCATCATTCAGCCAGACTTGGGTTCCATGAGGACTAATCTCTGACTAGGGCTAAAAAAGTAAGGGGTCATGGGGCTAAGAAAATGGAGATATTCACATGGGACTTCCCTGGGAATCCGCCTTCCAATGCAGGAGGCGCAGGTTCAATCCCTGGTCGGGGAACTAAGATCCCACACGCTGCAGGGCAACTGGGCCCTCGTGCCACAACTACTGAGCTCTCACGCCTCAACGAGAGAGCCCGCGTGCCGCAAAACTGCAGAGCCCTCGCGCTCTGGAGCCCGCGCGCCACAACTAGAGAGAGAAAAACCTGCACACCACAACTAGAGAGAAGCCCGCTAGAGAAGAAGCCCGTGTGCCGCAACTGTAGAGAAGCCCGCACACCGCAAGGAAAAGATACCGCATGCCTCAGTGTAGATCCTGCATGCCGCAACTAAGACCCAACACAGGCAAAAAAGAAAGAAAGAAAGAAAGAAAGAAAAAAAAGTCTCCCAGACAAATATATGGTCTCATGGGGACTGGAAGAGTATATCTACCACTTACAGCTTTAACCTCTCCAGCTGTCATTCTTTTCACCGGTAAGATAGGGATTATAGGGCTTGCCTGGTGGTGCAGTGGTTGAGAGTCCGCCTGCCGATGCAAGGGACACGGGTTCGCGCCCCGGTCCGGGAAGATCCCACATGCTGCGGAGCGGCTGGGCCCGTGAGCCATGGCCGCCGCGCCCCACCGGCT